CATTATTAAAAGCTTTTGTGCATCAAAGGACTTTATCAAGAAAATGAAAAGACACCTAGAGAATGGGGAGAATATCTGCAGATCATATACCCCATAAGGCCTGAAAAGGGTGTTCGGAATATATAAAATTCTCTTACAACTCAACAACAAAAGACAAACAACCCAGTTAAAATATGGGCAGAGGACTTGAACAAAAATTTCTCCGAAGAAGATGCATAAATAGGCAACAAGCACATGAAAAGATGTCTCAAAAAAGATGTTTAAAAAGCTGCTTTTCCTTCCCCTCTCTACAAAAGGTCAGCCAGACTCGTCCTTAGAAGACAGTTACATAAAAGACAGCAAATGTCCACATAGTGCTCTGATGTTTGGGGAGAATAACCACCTTTATTCTGGAAAACAAAAACAAAAGCCTGCTTGCCCCTAGGGACCAGCGGGGGAAGGCAGGCAACCACGCCCGCCTGCGCAGCACTGACCTGAACTTTCCGGTCCGCACCTGCAGCGCCTGCATCCCGCACCGCTGGGCCCCGCCGACGTCGCACACGATGTCGTCTCCGATCATGATGGCCTGTCAGGGCAGTGAAATACACTCAGAAGTGATGTCTGGAGAATTTTATTCCTGTGCGCCTTCATCTTTTTTGACATACTAAACCGCCCGATTTGACGTTTAAACCATCAAACCACCATCATACAAATTAAACAAGATAATATTGTCACCGTACTGATTAAAAGTCAGCCCACCTTGAATATATCTCATGCTGCCGCCCCCATGGGCCGCGGCTCTGAACCGTATGTATTTGAGCAATTTGAAATCAATCAGCAGATGTCAAAGTGACTTGGCGCCACAAGGACGCGTGGAGATGCTGAGGTGGGGGGGCCTCTGCCTGAACACAGCCGACCTCAACGTGATGCTAAATACGCTGTAGCCAAGTTATCTAAATCCCAACCCTTGGTTCTGTGAAAACTAGGTAACTTGCTGGCACATCTTTGCAGCCTGCAGTTTAAAAGGCTTTGCTTTCAATACGAAGACACAAAAGGTACTTGAAATACAACTGCATGTCTTTCTAGCGAATATTCTATACTTTGTACTTTCACTAACTTTCTCTGATCTTTCCCCCATCTAATCCCATGTTTCCCAAAGTGTGATACCCATACTAGTAATACGCTATTTGATTTTTGGTAGAAAAAGGACATACATTTTTTAATGTAATAGTTCTGTATTTATTTTTAGAGTAATCTATGGTGAGTGAATGATTCTAGTTTTCCATTTATAATCATGATCAAAACCTCCTTTTAAAATGCATTTATAAAAACTGAGTCAATTTAAAGAAACATTAAGTAAATAATAGTGCAAGTGGCACAAACACAGATATGGTAAAAGACAAAAATAAATTTATTTTTTCTAGAATGACGGATGTTGAGGAAACCGCCAAATCCAAATGAATTGAATTTTTTGTGTCTGTCAAACTAGAAATCATCAAACCACCCAAGAAGAAATAGCCAGTGGCAAGATGTTTCCTGAAACAACATCAGTACCAGAGTCAGCAGCACATACAGGTGAATCCAAAGGTGCATGCAAACCCAGTGTTACCTAGGTGACTCACAAGGCCCACCTGGAAGCAGAGGGCTAGAGGGGCAGCTAAGCAGCTTGACCTCAGGCAGCTGTGCAGGCCCTAAACTCTCGGTATTAGATCGTACTTAGACCTTCCCAAGGGGTTGTCCTGACACCATTAGGCCACTTATAAACAGTTACAGTGTTCCCTACTTAGGGCCTCAATGGTTTAAGCTCAACTGCTAATCTAAAGGTTGGTGGTTCAAACACATCCAGCAGTACAGTGGAAGAAAGGCCTGGCAATCTACTTCCATAAAGATTGCAGCTAATAAAACCCTATGGAGCAGTTCTACTCTATAACCCATGGGGTCAGCATGAGTTGGAATCGACTCAATGGCCATGGGTTTGGTTTTGGTCTTCACTGCTGCCAGAGACTGCAGGGGCCGCCTTACTAAAAGGTTTCCTATAAATATAATAGGTTTTCCAACTATTACAAAGAGCCCTGGTGGTGCAATGGTTAAGCACTCAGCTGCTAACCAAAAGGTCAGTGGTTTGAACCCACTGGCCACTCAGCAGGAGAAAGACCTGGCAATCTGCTCCTGTAAACATTACAGCCTAGGAAACTGATAGAGCAATTCTACTCTGTCTTACAGGGTTGTTATGAGTCTGAATCGACTCAACGGCACACAACAACAACAACTGATTATTTCATGTCATGCTTGGCACCTTCCATGCTTCTGGGGAAAATAAACTTAGACACGCACACACGCACGCACGCACGCACGCATGGCAGCCGAGATTCTTTCCCTCCCACGACGTACTGGGCTAGGACATGTGTTGATGTCGCCCATGGAGATGTAACCAGGGAATCTGGTGCCTTGGAGGAAAAACTCATCCAAGGAACATGATTCTACACGATAAACCCATGTCCCAATCCAGGCAGAGCCCCAAGAAGCTGCATGTGAGGGTGGAGACTGGGCTGCGGGAGCAGGCCAGGAGGCTGGGGAACAGGGACTCTCCGGAGGAGCGGGGGCATGCAGCTGCCTGAGGCAGTGATGCCTGTCTGGGCCAGCTTGTGGGCTCTGCATACCAAAATGCTCAAAGGACCCTGGGGACTTCACAGATTTACTATCGGTGAAGGGCAATGATCATGCCAGGAGGAGCAATTATTGCCAAATCATTTAGGATTTAAAAAATCATTGGCAAGAAGATAGAGGTCAAGAGGTGCGCTGTCGGGGGAAATAAAAAAACTCTACCTGTCAGGCCCGGGTTTCACTTCCTTTCTGACTGCAGTGTGGGCAGGGGGACAGGGACACCAGACGGCAATGCTAGGCCCCACAGACAGAGGCACCGCAGTCGCCAAGGCAGGTTTTCTGGTCTGGGGTTCAAACTGGGGACTTGCTCATCCTTCTTAAATACTTGCCCACCTACTAGGGTCTCCTCTCCGCCATCCTTGGTGCTGGGTAAAGAACCGTGGTGGTGATGTTTTGGTGCGCAAACTTCCAGGGCCAAAGAGCTTCCCATGAAGCTCAAGTTTTCACCCGCTGTTTTCATTACCCCAGGGCTCTGCCAGGAGAAGCCCTTCTCCCCATCAGAGAGCAGCCATCAGGAGGGCTGGTGGGCAGGGAGGAGAGAGCTCAGCCTCTGCCGTTAGCCCAGAGGAGCACACGCCCCACACAGCGGCATGGGGGGCATCTAACACCAGGGTGAGCCAGAACCTCCGGCCTCCAGGCTCCAAAGACCCAGGCTTCCTCAGAAACCTGGAGTTGTCTCATTGCTAAGTAATTCCCCCACGGTCTGACACATCTGTAAGGAACAGCACCAACACAGAAAACCTGAAGACCACTGTTGTTTAAAAGTAAGAATAACAGTGTTGGTAAGGATGTGAGGAAATTAGCACTCCTAAGTTCCCTGTGGGGTGCAAAAGGTTTGCACTCCACTACTAACCGAAAGGCTGGCAGTTCGAACCCACCCACCCAGTGGTGCCATGAAAGAAAGGCCTGGCAATCTGCTTCTGTAAAAATTACAGCCAAGAAAACTCTATGGAGCAGTTCTACTCTGTAACACGTGTTGGCTATGAGTCTGAATGGACTCAGAGGTATAATGGTTTTTTAAAAATATATATGCAGCTCCTGGGGAAAGTGAATTGATACAATCTGGTGAGGAAGGTGACTTGATACAATCTTCCTGAAATATAAATCAGCAATGTGTATCAAACCCTGACAATGACACCACTAGAGCTCTAAGTCTAGGTTTTCTAAGACTAATAATCAGGAATGCACAAAAAGGGTGTTCACTAAAGTAATGTACAAGGAGGAAGCCGAAGCAGGTTCAACAACAGGGGAAGGGCAACGAACATGTGGTGTCCATCTGAAGGAAGGTTATGCAGCCATGAAAATTACTTTGTAAAAGAATATTTAAGCACAAAAGAAATCGTTCCCAATAGGCTAAAAAACAGGTTTCAAATAGCAGATACAGGTTTATCCCAATTTTGTATGAAAAAAATGTATATATAGACACAGAAAAACATTAGAAAGGTTAAGCGTGAGCCTGTGTTTTCTAGGCTAGTGGAATGATAATGCTTCTCATTTTCTTGCACTTTCCTGAATTGTTCCTGTCTCCTTTAAATGAGCATAAACTGCTTCATAATCAGATAAAAAAGTACTTCAGTGCTTTGAGGAGAAAAACAAAAACTAAAAGGCTTTAGGGAGAAAAGAACTGAGGAAAAACTCGTTTAAAGGCACCAAAGACAACTCCAGAGCTGGAATTCCCAAAGACCTCCATGGGTCTCCGACAGGCAGCTGCAGTAGCTGCATCTTGAGCCAAATCTTGAAACGCTCCAGGGCTGTGAGAAAGGAGGAGCTACCGCTCCCGGCCGCCTTGGTGCTCGGTGCTGGAAGTGCACACTGTGTCACAGCAACTGGGCCTGTTCCTGTTAGAAAGTGAGCAAGTTGTCACAGAGCTGACACAGCTGGGGGGGTGGTGCCTGGGCTAAGTGGGGGCGGGGCCCGGCCTGGGTTGGGTGGGGCCTGGACTAGGTCGGGTGAGCTCTGGCCTGTATTGCTGCCTCATTAAGCCTGAGCTGGGGGGGCGGGCCCTGGCCTGGGTGGGGTGGGGCCTAGGCTAGGAGGGGCGTGGCCTGGGCTAGGTGGGGTGGGGCCTGGGTTAGGTGGGGTGGGGTCTG